GGAAGAAAACAAAATTTCACCCTAGCACTCAAATTTTGGTGTTTTGTCTGTTTTCATTCCATCCGTATACAGTTTTCACAAAATGGAAATGAATTTCCTTGTATGTCCGTGAAATACGTCTGTTAGTAAAAGCTCTTCAGTTCTTTACGTACCGTATGCCGCGTCGTCTGAGTCATATTCCTTCTCTTAACTCTTATGATATTGCGTGATAGAGGCTTTAATCTTTTAGGATCGCTTCGTTCGCTGGAATACAGTTTAGTCACACTTACTTTTCAGATATTTTTCAAAGCTCGTTATAAGGCGAAGGAAGAACTGAATGACCAACTGGCAGATTTCCAGCAAAAGAGGACAGCTGGGCTTGGGACAATATTCGGGCCACCAGAGGCTCAACTCGATGAAAGCATACACGACAAGAATAAGGAAATGAAAATCGTGGAGTCCATTCTGGTACCTAAAATGGAAGGTTATCTGTAAGTAGGAGTTCAAATGACTGATGGAGCCGTCGAGCTTTTTTTTTTGTCGAAGGGTCGCATTGTTTTTTAGCCGAATTGAAAGGTGTGGGCTTAATGTTGATTCGTTGAGGTTGATGACCTTTAATTTGCTGCGTGTCACAGTCTACCTGGAATTGTGTCGCAGTAGCGTACCTCTAATATATTAACTTCTAGATCTGGCGATTAATTAAAGCGAGGGTGTAGATTGTCATGAAGTTCTCTTGGTGGTAAAGGCGGTGTCCTCGTTTGTGATGCCATGTGGACTCGGTAGATACCTACGTTTGGGAGGAACGTACTGTCTCGCTCTTTAGAGTAACGTCATTTTAATCCCACACCCACGTGCGATAAATTTTAATCATGTAAATCTTAAAAAAAAACACTTATGTAGTGTTATTATTTATTTATTTATGATTATCAAATGTCATTAATTCTTAGAGAAGTTAAAATCATTTGTCTAAGATTTTATCTACACGTTAAGGATAAATTTGAAGCTGCAGTGAACTTTAATCTTTATTGTTTCGCGTGTCGTTGCTAATCGATAGTCGAGCTGGCAGCGGTTTGACTTCCGATTCCCACAAGATAAATGTTGAAATCGAATGGCGGGCGAAATGGAATTCTTGGTTTGATTATGTGGCGCTCGGATGTGTAGCCCAGTCGCGTGTGTAATGAGCGACGTATTCATTTCCAGGGAGGATATGGA